CAAGCTCCAAGTAACGTTGTTTGAAAGATATGAGTTATGAATGTTTATTAGTAGCTTCATGATCCTTCATTCCTCATACAGGTTGTGATAGACGTGTATGACTTCACCGGCGGAGATATAACGGTGCAGCTCGTGGACGGCAAGGAGCTGGTGGTGGAGGGCCAAGCGGAGAAGCAGGAGGCGACCAGAGTGTCTCGCTTGAGCTTCATCCGCCGCTTCCAGCTGCCTGACCTCGCCGACCGGGACGCTATCACCGTCGCCTTGTCCGCCGACGGCGTCCTCACCATCACCTCCCCGAAGAGAAGGAGTCCTCGATGCCTGAGCGTGAGGCCAAGGCGATCCCCCAGCGCGAGGCGGTCTCAGGAGCGAGCGAGCGACTCGGATCGCAGCTGGAAGGAGAGATATGCCCGAGAGCCTTCTGAGGATTTTGAGGATTTCGACGTCCACAGTAGAAAATCTGCGCTACATTCCTTCATGGATCAGTTCTAAAATCCTCGCCCCCCCATATTTGTTATTATATGTATACGAATACGTTATTATATTTTTATGGTATTCTGGAATATAATCGGCACTGTGATATGACTTCTACGTTTGTTTCGTATGGGAATAACTGAGCCTTTATGAAGCTCTCACAATATCAGCGGCATGACATTTCCAGGTAAGATTTGCTATTTTATATCTAAGTTTTCTATATATTCTTATAATGAATATGGATGAACATAAAACAACAACAACATACATACATACATATATATATATATATATATATATATATATATATATATATATATATATATATATATATATATATATATATATATATATATATGTATATGTACTTTCAGTCAGTAGTACTTATTCCTACATTTTTTTTGCCCACAGATGCCGAGGTTGATTAAAAGCCAATAAAGGATCTCGTATAAAAAGATATATATACAAATCAAATGTTTGCCATTAACATTCCTCGAATAAAGCTTTTTGTGTAACTATTCGTTTTTGTTACCTTGTTGCTCTATAAAGAGTTAAGATGCATATAGCATATACAAACCTCTAAAACAGATTTTGAGTAGCAAGTGACGGTTACATTTTTTATCATTATTTGTAGTAAAGACAGAGACAAGTTGGCAATTAAGGATAAATTACATAATTTCAGATTTCCTGTCTGTAATGAGCCTGTCCGGAAAATACAAAAATAAAAACAAGGGAGTACTCCAAGCATAACTGAATTTACCTGAGAGTTGTTACTAAGGTGTTTATCTGCTTCGTAATCGAGGTAATGGGACCCCCTGGGATCTTGGCATTGGTTGAAAATAAAATCTAATCCTCAACCTTTGTCTTAGACTATTGGGTCATGATGAGAAAGACTAGAGTAAGGGACACAGGGTTCGTTGTCATAGTATTAAGAAAAACGAAACTGTTTCTTCCCAGCAACATTTAAACCTTTATTGAATTTTGTTAAAGTTGTATTTTACTTACATTACAGATAAAAATTAAGATAGGAGTGTTAAAACATGTCCACTCAAAATCACGCGAAATATGATTTATTAAAACATATCCTTTAGCTCCTTATCACTTACATTAACAAATAAAGATGTATACAGTCGAGCTTAGATTCTCACAAATAATGCCTGATCTACATACCATATGACTCAAATCACTCGAAAAGAAAGAGCACAATTCAGTAATAATGCAGTTGAAAATAGTAACTGAAATTAGTCCTTGAGAAAAAAATCTCCACAATTGAATCTACACAAACTATTAAGTGATTTAGTCCAAACAGGTTTCGGTAAAAAAAGAGATGAACAAAATTGCTAAAGTAGCTTCAAAAGGGAGAAGTAAGAGACCGATGCTTAAACTAAAATAACTATATATTTTTTCCTAAAATAGATGATGAACATACCTTAAGTAACCGCTTATTAAAAGCTTGTATTGTTGCCTTAACCTTCCATACTGAAATCTGGTACAAATACATAATTTTAAAAGCCGCCCACACATATACTATTTTCCTTCATCGTAGGGGCTAACACTAGTAATAGCTTATTCCACTTAATTTAAGAGCAGTAGATTATGCGAAAGATGTTTGTTACAGTGAATGCATTATTCAGCCGGTGCATTCCCTTTCAGAGAAGTGCTGATTCCTTTCTTTACAAATGACATCAGATAAATTACAAGCATTTCAGTTAATGACGACCATTGGCATTATGGAAGTATGTGCGTGCAGTGCCTCGAGTAATTACAATTCTCAGTAGTTATAAAAGTAGAACATAAGTATGCGACATAATCCACCATAATTTTGCCTCGGCATATTTTTAACTTCTACATCAAGGCAAAATGATCTGTTATATTTTAACAATCTAATAAAGCGTCCTTTATGTGTCAATCTCAAAAAATATTTTACCCGAAATATTTAATCATGTAAATATATTTATATACATGCAAACACACACACACACACACACATACATACACACACACACACACATACACACACACACACATATGTATATATATATATATATATATATATATATATATATATATATATATATATATATATATATGTATATATATATATATTTATAGATAGGTAGATAGATAGACAAATATAAATAAATAGATATACTGTAGATATAGATAAAAGCATAGATACTATTTGTCAATTTATTTATATCAGTATCTACCTATCTATGTATATCATTATCTTTCTATCTATTTATATCATTATCTTTCTATCTATTTATATCAGTATCTTTCTATCTATTTATATCAGTATCTTTCTATCTGTGTGTGTGCCTCTGCACATATATACAAGTGTGTGCGGATTAGTGGGTGTAAGGAAATAACGAATGAACCAATTCCAATAAATAATGTCGATATATACAAAAATAAATAATAACAAGAAAGCGTTCTGTACCTACATATCCTATACACATCGCTCTTTTTTTCGCCATCTGATATCCTCTTTCAGAAATCTGCTTGTCGGTCACGTTCCCGGGAGGCGGACGAGGCGCCGGTCAGGTAGTCAGCAAAGGTCGTTCGAGTCAGAGTTCGTCAATTAATCGAGTTGTTCGTAAGAGGAGTAACAGAAATTAATAGAAAATAGTGAATCGGGAACTATATAATCTAACGGTTGAAGTATGCCGAGTTATTTCTTCCCTTTTCATATTTCAATAAAATTCGTAGTCGAATTTATGGCTCTCCAGCTAATTTCATTATTGATAGTTTCATCTTCAGCATGGGCATACATGGACAGTAATATTACGCAATAAATACATGGTATCAGGAGTAGAATGTATACTGAATTTATGGTCAGCTTGTTAAGATGTTTGAAATTCAAGGCGCGTTTTCCAACATTTCCTATTTGATATTTGCAAATACTGATGACAAGGAAATATCTTTCATACTCCGCTTCTTATATATCTGCTATATTCAATTTCGTCCCAATATATTTAACGCTCAGCCAGTCTTCCCTTTTGTATATTAAAATTCAGTATTTACTTTTTATCTATTTTTTTTTTAAATATGAAAAATGTTTAGATTACTTTTTAATAGCCTTTATACTGCATGGAGTTCAGTGATTGAAATCAAAATGATAAAAAAGAAATACTAAACTTATTTCAGATGCCACAGGAAAAAGGTGTTGCCAATTTGCTTTAAATGGCCTGGAAGTGTAGCATTTACAACTTGAAAATGGATTAAATAAGAAAGCAGAAAGTACGGCAAAATTTATTCCAATATAAACGCAAATATTTGATTACAAAATATCTTTTAGTCAGATCGATTCTGTGTAAAAATGTTTTCTTTCTCTTTTCTTCTCATATGTATTACTTCTGGAATGTTCAGTTTAAATTAGATCGAGTTGGTATTAATCACAGATCCATTAATCTTGATGGGGAACCTGGCTCCGCTTCCCTTCAGCTTATAGAGGTCCTTGTCTTCCTGGTTGCCTTCTTCAGCGTCGCTTCCTTTTCTTCTCGCGGCGAAGGAGGTGGATCTGGCGGGGGCGTCTTCGTCTCGACCTCCTGTCGAAGTCTTGGAAGGGGAACAGGTCTGCTTCTCTGGAATCTCTTCTGTTCCCTGGACTCTAACGGGAATTACGGTGGTGTGCTGCTGAGAATCTCCTTTCTGTTAGAAAAGAGTTTGGTATGTTAGCAACTTTGCTTGAAGAAACTGTAAGTTGGTATATGACTTATTTTTCATTGAACATTCTCCACACTTAATTAACTGAGAAAATAGTTAAGCATAATGTACCTGGTTTGAGGATGAAGTTTCGTCGGGTCCGTGAGTCGAACTGGCTGTCGAAGGTACCTTGGACGGAGCGGAGATGGCGCTGGGTACGGGAGTGGCATTTTGCGGTTTATTTTCCTTTGCGACAGCGCCTGTTGAAGCCTCATTCGATTTGAGATTTCCACTCTGCATAACGGTGACGGCAGGATCAGTTTTCTTTCCTTCAATGCTTATGGGCACGGAAACCTCCATCACCTAGAAAAGAGTTTGGTATGTTAACTGTAAGTTGGTATACGATTTCTTTTTCATTGAACATTCTCCACACTTAATTTGGTGAATTAAACTAAGAAAATAGTTAAGTGTAAGTTTTCTCGGGTCCGTGAGTCGAACTGGCTGTCGAGGGTACCTTGGACGGAGCGGAGATATCGCAGGGTACGGGAGTGAGGATCAGTTTTCTTTCCTTCAATGCTTATGGGCACGGAAACCTCCCTCACCTAGAAAAGAGTTTGGTATGTTAACTGTAAGTTGGTATACGATTTCTTTTTCATTGAACATTCTTCACACTTAATTTGGTGAATTAAACTAAGAAAATAGTTAAGTGTAATGTACCTGGTTTGAGGATGAAGTTTTCTCGGGTCCGTGAGTCGAACTGGCTGTCGAGGGTACCTTGGACGGAGCGGAGGTGGCGCTAGGTACGGGAGTGGCATTTTGCGGTTTATTTTCCTTTGTTTTCCTTGTTGTGGCCTCGTTCGATTTGAGATTTCCACTCTGCA